GGAATCCGATTTTCTCTACCATGTAACCAGCGTAGTCGGAGTATGATCGGATACAGGCCACGCCCCCTTTAACCCCGTAACAAACCCCCAGAGTAGAGGAGTAGCGTTGGTCTCCTCTTTAGAAAAAGTAGCGCGTCCATCATGTCGGACAAAAACAACGCTGTACGATGCTCCATCTTCTTGTTTCTCCAAAATGCCCAGCAGCAGTTGGAGACACTTCTGACGTCTGACACCGACCTGCTGTTGTTGTTGACGGTTGGATGGGGTCAGAAACAGCGCCGCTGAAAAGACCCATATCGCCCCCTAGTGTTGGGGAGGAGAGAAGTCTGATTCAGAGAAGAAGATGATGATGATCTTCGTCCGATTAAACTGAGACTGTAAATGACCTGAGTGAGACGTGACGAAAGGATCCCTCAGATCAGTTTGAGTCCTGGGGGGTCCGACCCGGCCTGCAAAGACCCTTTAAAGTCTGTGTAGGTTCAGAGGGAGGGGTCAGCTGGGAGGTTAGTGTTCTTCATCTTCCTCCTCCTCCTCCTCCGTTCTTCATCTTCTGTAGACAGATCTGCGTCCTCGCTGCTCTGTGAACGAACACACTGATGAAGTTGTTACTGGACGCTCAATGACAGGGTGAAGTCTGTGTGTGTTACCTGTGTGTGTTACCTGTGTGTGTTATCATGTTTCTCTGCATGTGAGGCTGTTGATTCGACAACACAACTGTACATGTGTGTGTTTGTGTGTGTGTGTTTGTGTGTGTTTGTGTGTGTGTGTGTGTGTGTGTGTGTGTGTGTGTGTGTTTGTGTGTGAGATAATCTTTCATTAAATTCTTGAGTTTAATGGGATTATCTTTAGGAGACGAGCAGGACGATGTCCTTGACATCCATCCACCCGGTTCACCACGGGCGAGTGAGAGATAAAGACACATACACTCCTGCAGAGAGAGAGAGAGAGAGAGAGAGAGAGAGAGAGAGAGAGAGAGAGAGAGAGAGAGAGGAGAAAAACCTGAAGGCAGAAACTAGAAGAAGAAGGAGAAGGAGAAGAAGGAGAAGGAGAAGGAGAAGAAGGAGAAGAAGGAGCGGTGAGGGGAGGAGATCACAGTGCAGAGAAATGCTTGTGAAGTTGGAGAAGGAGAGAGGGGCGGGGCTGATGGAGAAGTGACGTTCATTCTAATCGTCTCATCCTCTGCAGCGAGAACACTGGAGGTCGGCGGCTGGCCTTCACCTCCACCTGCAGCTACACCTGTCATGGGGTCGGGTTCGTCAGAGGATCTCCGTCAGTCCTTTCTTCTTCCTGATGGACTCTGGAGACTCTAAATATTCTCTTCTTTTTAAAGTTCGGTCAAAATGAAGCATCTAAAAATACAACATGCTATTCTTAGACACTCTCCAGATCTACCAGATCTATCATCGCTGCAGTCAATTAAAGCTCCACTGAGGAGTTTTAGCTGATATGGACTCTGTTTGACCCGCCAAAGTAAACCAGACCATCAGCGACATGACGAAGGCTCATTTTTGTTTAGTGGAGCTTCTATGAAGAGGTCAGAGGATCGTAACCTGCTAAAAAAAACACAAGTATTCCCATCGAGTGATATGTTTGAGTGTTACAAGGCAGAAAAAGATATCACAAACGCCACAGGGGGGCGCCAAAATCAACACAAACATATCAAGGGTCCTCACAGGAGCTTTAAAATAGTATTAAAGGCAGTATTTGTTTCTGCTTCAGCTCAGTATCTGAATAAATACGCATCATAACCTCATGATCACCTGATCCTGATTAAAGTTCCAACTTCATCCAGCTGTCAGCCCTGACCACGACTTCAGACCTGTAATAATAATAAAAGTGGAGGTGACGATGTTTGACTGATTTTCAGTCTAAATGTTCACATCCTAAATTATTCTGGAGGATCGATTTGAGCTGAACAAAGATCTGAGTGATGAAGCAGAGCTGGAGCATCATGGAGACGGAGATATGATGAGGAGGAAATAGTCTGATGAGGTGATTAACTGCAGAGTCACAGACAGTATGAGCTTTGTCGCCCTCTAGTGGTCAATGAGAAACCTTCAGTTTAAAGGTGTTGTAGTCAGGATCTGAGTTAGTTCCAGTTTTTAGGAGAAATCTTGAATGTAAACTCGACCCCTCCAACCAGTTTTCCCCTCAGCTCCTCCCCTCCCTCTCTTAAGCCCCGCCCACAAACAGACGCTCCTGCTCGCTCGTATCGTTCCAATTAAATTCAGATATAATGCAGATCAATACTTCAGATCATTACAAATGGGGCCCAGTCAAGGTGAAAGTCAAAAGCATTGGTGCTACTGTAGATGCCAACAGACTACCAGCAAACACAATGTTTGCAGGACTTCTACAACGAGGATAAAGTGACATAGTCCAGGACCCGAGGGAGGACAGTTTAGCGATGGCGCTACAACACGCTACAGCAGGTCCGTTTGACAAGAAACACTTCTGTTACAGACACTTGTCTTACTTTGTTAAAGCGGTTTACCTGTCCAGCAGAAAGGTTACAGGGTCACCAAGATCCCCAAGCGTCCCCCATCGTTTATGTTGACCCGGCTTTTTAGCTCTTGTCCGGTCTACCTCCGTTTTAAGCGCCCGTTATTCCTCCAGAGTCTCCGGTATTTACTTTGTTTTCTTGCTTGTGTCGGCAGTCGTGGCCAAAGGAGGATTCAGACAATTTTCCGAACTTTCTGGTTGGTTTCTACTGTCCGATATTGTAGCACGCTAACTTTGTTTGGGCTCCTGAACGACACGGGGGAGCAGCGTCTGCCTCACAACCAATCAGGTTAGAGGGGGTGGAGAACGGCTTTGTTTACAGTCAGAAAGAGCGGACCGCTCAGAAATGTTCAAATGTTGACGACACAGACAGAAGAGAACACAGAGATATCGATATATTACCAAATAATCAATAACTAATAACTATTGACTGATATTAAAGATGTTTTGTATAAAAACCACAAAATAAAAAGATGTTTCTTTAACGGATTCCTGACTACGACACCTTTACTGTCATCTGACTGACATTCAGGCTGAGGGAGAGAAAAACAAAAATCAGTGTTTTCAGTGACTTCAAGTTTAAAGTTGGTTTTAAGGATGTTTGTCCATCTTCTGTTGACCGTTTTTCATCGTTTTTCATCATTTTTCACCCTTTCATTTGAAGACAAAGTTTCTGGCTCAAAGTGTTTTCTTTTCCTTTTTTGAAGAATAAATTATTTTTTTAACACTCAAACTGATAATCGAACGTGTCACAGATGCAAGCGAACCTAAACCCCAGCACAGACAGACATATTTCTCTACAGACCGAGCTCCTCTGTCAGAATCGGGACTTAAGCTTCTTTCACACCGGGACAGTTTTTATCGTGCGATTATTTCAGACGTCAATATTTTTTTTCAAACCCGTATCCTGTCAATACAAGCGTCACATCAGCGACGTTTTCCCGTCCTGCGATATTTCAGCACTTATTTTTTCGGATCATGGTCGATTTTTCTAAAGTTTCTCAGACTGTGTGTCCACTTCTGACCAATCAGATTTTGTGTTGTTGTGACGTCAGATTCACCGGTATATCCAACATGGCCGACCGGCTGATTGTTTCCGTGTCGGAGAACAGAGTGATTTTTGATCAAAGACACAAACATTACAAAGAGAACGACCTGAAGGACGACTTGTGGAGAGTCATAGTGTCGGATTTCTCCGATGACGATGGTTTGTGAGCTTTAACAGTTTGATAAACGTCTTTGTTTGAACTTTCATCTGTGCTAACGTAACTTTAGCTCGTAAGCTAACCTGTTCAGATACAACAGACCATCTGTATTTTCACTGTAAACTCAGTCACAGCTCCATCAGGTCTCTGTTGTTACCTTCCCCCCAGAAATGTGTGTATAGTCAGGCGCGTCAAAATTCGCCTCTGAATATTTCGTTGTGTCGTGTCGTATATTTGTGTCATGCCGGTGTGTACGGACCTTTAGGGTTAGGCATATTTTAAATATTTCTTAAAATATTAGAAATATTAAATATCAGTGAGGACAGAAAGAGTCATCTGTTATCATTATTTCTCTGTGTCTGGACTAACAACACTCCTGGGGCCCAGGCTTTTTTGGACTGGGGCCACCCCAGTATAAATAACCTGGACACGCCCCTGCTGTCTCCATGTAAAGAGTCTAGATTTATTTCAGAAACACCAGGTAAACAGTCATGAAGTTCTCACAAATATCAGTAGAGGAACTGAGGAGCTTGAACGCATCATTCGTCGTATTTCCGACTTCCGCACAGGAGGAGCTGTAGTTTACGGGGAACCCCTGAACGCAGCACAGCATTACAGACACTCCAGCGGCTCCACAACAGACAGGGTAAGAACTGACACCGACTTTAACTGACGATTTACACCCAAATAAACCGAGAGAACCGACAATAAGAGTTTAAATCCGGTCATAATAACTCGGACTGTTAGCCTACAGTTAGCTCACTCTGCTTCACTTTCCTTCAGTTTACTCCGAAAATCTGATTTTCTTCACCGGCCTCATTTCACAAACACAAACACGACTCAGTTTAGACCCCAAACTTCTCTCTTTGGGGATAAACTCGTGTCTTTTCTCGGTTTTTCTCGGTTGTGGGTGGGTGGGAGTCTGACAGCGGATGTAACTTCAGCAGCTAACCGGCTAACAGCAAAACGAGCGAAACTTTTCAGCCCAAAAAACGGATAAAAGTTTCTGTTTTATCAGCTGATACTGACTAAAGACACTGTCGATATGAAGAAAATGAAGTTTATGACAGATTAACCCTCCAGAAAGACTGACAGGAGATTAATAGAAGTTATTTTTCTCAGGTTTGTATGCGGAAGTGAATGAAAAGTAAGAAAAGCACAGCTAACGTCAACGTGTGTTTAAAACCTTTTTTTAAAGAATTACGGTAATTTTTACAGTTTAATTAAGATAAATTAAACTGTTTATGTTCCACTAACTAAAGATGGACTTTGTTAAAACATTATTATTTGGGCAAAGAGCAAATAAACCGTCGTTTCAGTGTGATGGGACATGTATTTAACAAAATAAACCATTAAAACCGGAAATACCTTTTTAAAATAAGTCTGAATTTGCATAAAGAAGTTGCATTAATGATGGTCAGGACACACACATCACTGTCTCTTCGTTATGTAATGACCTGCTGCTGGTTCCAGCTTCATAAATATCAACTTTCACAGATTTTTCCTCTTTAGTATTGAGTTTTTATCTCCTGGTTTGACCAGAGAAACGACTAAAAGTCACTTTGGAAAGAGGAAGGAGGACTTTAAGAAGGATTTTCTGTGGGTTTGTCTGAGGCTGCCTGACTCACACAGAAATGTACCCAGAGGACATTAATAGTGTGTTTGCTGTCTAAACTAAACTAAACTAAACTAAAGTACAGAAGTTCTGTGATCACAGGTAAAAACAGAGCTAACACAGATGTTTTCATGATGAGCCGTGAGCTCTGACGGAGGACATGTGATCATGAGAACAAATCAGAGTTTGTCCAACAGGTGATTTCCTCCGTCCAATTAAAACAAAAACACTCGTCTCTGACTCAGCAGTCAAGTATTCTGGTACGTCAGCTCCAAATATCTGGGACACAACAGAGAAGAACCTCGGCTACTGACACCAGAGAGCGCCGTATTATCGGTGAACGACGATCACCAAAGAGCTGATACTGGGGTGGGTGGGGTTATGGCTAAGACTCCAAACACTCTCGCCCTCACATACTGACTTCTCGGTGTGATTTATGTCTGTATTTAACTCACGCTCTGTGTTCCTGGGTGTATTTCTTCTTCAGCCGTGGTCCACCGGTGACCTGCAGCCTCTCAGCCCACCCCCTCACATGATCGCCCACCCCTGCTCTACGGGAGAAGTCGGGGAACTTTTCCGAACATTTTCGAAGTGAAACCGAATCTTATTCTCCGCATTTTATTCCTGAGTTTTGGCCGATTACCGATTCGTCTCAAACGGGCTAAAATTGGCCGATTTAATCGACTCGCCGATAAATCGGTCGGGCCCTAATGACAACGATATCTAAAATTGATTTCCCTCAACATCAATATAAAACATGATCAATATGGTCGACTATACGAACAGCCAATGAAAAGGGGCGTGTCTCCGGGTCTGAACCAATCATGTTCTGAATTAGAACCAAGTATCAACCAACTGCAGCGTCGTAGCAGACAGCAGCTCCACCCAACCATAGCACTTTAACAGGTGAAGCCGACAGCACTGTTGGTGAGAAACAAAAAAAATGAGTGCTACCCCCGACAGAAATGACCATGAAGGCTCAACAGATGACCACATCAATGTCAACCACAACACTGGCGTTAGGAAAACGTCGGTGGTGTGGAGGTATTTTGGTTTTTGGAGGTCGGACATGAAGCAGAGTAATGTGGACTGTAAATTATGTCGAGTACATGTTCTCACAAAGTCGGGGAATACCTCAAATCTTTTTCACCACCTGAAGCAGCGGCACGCCGCAGAGCACGCGCAATGCAAAAGGTTACAAACCCCGAGAGGAGCGAGGAGCCCATGGCGCCTGAAACAGACGACCATTCAGTCGGCTTTCTCTAGAGCAACACCTTAATATACATATATATACATATATATATATATATATATATATATATATATATATATATATATATATATATATATATATATATATATATATATATATATATATATATATATATATATATATATATATATATATATATTATATATATATATATCGATATGGACTGATATGAAACAGAAATGATAAACTTTTCCCCGTATCGCCCGGCCCTGTCTGACGGTGAAATCAGAGCAGGTATCTGCAGGTAAACGGGTGAAGCGTCTAAAATCTGGCTCCTGTTTGCAGGTCGGCGTGTTTTTCCCACACTTGAATTAAGTGAATTAGGTGGAGCAGCAGCGTCCCTGAAGACGAGCGTTTGTCCGTCCCCCTGACTCATCAGCTGATTCTGCCTCTGTCAGACATCTCCACACAAAGAGTCAGTGATGGAGCGACGGCCCCGCCGCCTCGTTTACCATTGTCCCCCTTAATGAAGCGGCAGCCCGGGTATGTGAGCTGCTCGGCGTCTGGGAGGTCACAGGATCTCCACCCAGTGTGTAGTAAACACGGCGTCTCACGGCGACAGGATCCTGAAAAGAACGAGACGAGCAGAAAAAAGGCTGGACTCTGTTCTTCCACTTTAGTTCTCCTCAGAGCAGCTCGAGGTTTCGGATGTAGAAAGATCTGAAAACTCTGAAGAAGAAGAGGAAGTGTCATAATAATGTCATGATTGGTAAAAGAATCAGTCAATTCATCGATCCGTCTCTAAAATCTGACGTCTGAATCTGGGAAATTTTAATCTTCTGTTGTATTTTTGTGCTCCAGTGTATCAGGACGACACCGCCTTTATTTTGTCAAACGACCTCTCCATCAGCGCTCTCTCTGTTCTCTGACCTCCGCCCTCTCCTCCTCCTCCTCCTCCTCCTCCT